GTAAGGTCAAGTTTGAATCCTACCATTGTCACTCCCGGTGGTCAGTCTGTAAATTCCTATGTGATTCTTAATTGGGTATTAGATATACCCTTGACCTAAATTGGGGGAATCACCCATACCCTAAAACTTTTTCTTGTACAAGAAAAAAATGTGAAACAAATGTTGTAGATTTTAGGTTGGGTGCAATGGATTAAAATGTTGAGATTTGAAAAGATACGTCTGATCTTTTTAACCTTTAGTGATCTTGTTTTTGAAAGTATTGGAGAATCAATATACTGTTAATATTCGTTGTTGAAGCTTTTAACATTCGAAGACTTTGGTGAACATTAAGATTTGAATACTTTGGTGAATATGCACATTTTTATATTAAAAGTAGTTTGCTCCAAATGGAAGGATAGAACCAAAGCACGAGAAGAAAGAACAAATTTGCCTTTTAGACCAATAAAAAGGGATTCTTACTTTTCTGTTTTAAAAGACATTTATTTAGTTTGTCGGACAGCTCTTTAGGTCCAGGAGAGAAAAAATATATATATCGGTCAAATATTGATATATTAATAAGTTTCTATTTCAATTCTTATCATTATTTTTTATATTTAAATATATATAATAAATATTATGCCGACGAGAGTCTCTTATGTCTTTATTTATCGTCAAAAATAATCACCTTATAATTATTTCTTATAATTCTTATATTTGACTTATAATCATTTCACTCATGAAAAAATTTATAAAGTACATGATCAAATCAGTGCAAGGAAAGGAGAACGTGTTATTAGTATGAGCCAAACAGCTTGGATTAACATAACATAAAATAATTAAAAAGAAAAGCTTATTCGTACCTTTTCTTCTTGCAACGGCAACTGATGATGTTTTCCTTTAAACAAATTTCATTTGACAAAGCAGAGGAGACACGTAGGTTCGGCAGAACATGCCAGGCCCCCCCATGTTGCTTTTCCCAACATTTGTCATTGCCCCCACACCTGTCTTATACTCTAATAATCAAGTTAATTCATCTACGAATTGTTATTAATAATTAATAAAATCGGGGGCTTTAAAATTATTTAAAATAAACCATATAATGACGGATCTTGACGCTTAGTTTGACAACTTAATCAAAAAATTAAGAAGTTTAATCGAAATTTTCAAAAGTTTTAAGAAATTTAACGATTTTTAAAAATATGAGGATTTAATTAATCTTTGTAAGAGTTCTGAGAGGTTTAATGAAAAATAAAACAATTTTAAAAGAAAAAAATAAAACTTCATGAGAATTTTTTAAAAAATTAAGGGGTCTAATTAAAATTTTAAAAACATTTTAGATATATAATGCAAATTCCTTACAACTTTGTGGGTGCCAAGTTATCCAAGCCCTTGTTATCATCCTCCCCGAGAATTTTTTTGGCCTTCAAATTTATTAATTATTTATTTTAGTTTTTAAATTTTTATTCTGATTATTTTTATTAATTTTATCTAAATATGAGTTATTTTATTTTTATTGAAATACCAACCTCGACTTTTATATGTTTGTAAAGTTTTTTTAATATTTTAAAATTTTGATAATGTGCAAAAATAATAAAATAATTAACATCAGTATTTTAGAAAGTACAACGTAGTTGATGTCCAATCTGTTAATGTTCCGTCATACTTGAGTTAATTTATCACCCAAAAAAAAGTACAAGGGATAAAACAATTAAACTTATAAAATTGAGGGGCCAATAAATTATTCTGCCAAAATAGACCTTGCGAGGATCCTTTATTGGTGGCATGCTCGGTGGCCTCCGTCACAGCTACCGCTCTTTCTGGCCACGCATGTGGCGCGGGCGGCATGGTTGAGGCTTATTTACAATTAGGAGGAAGAAAATTAGACCCCATACTAAAAATTGAATTTTTGATTAATTTGATTTGAAAAATATTTAAATTTAAATGGAATTATAAAATATAACTTGAATAACTCATAACTTTTAATAATTAATTATTTAATTTTTAAATTTGAGATAAATCTCTCACTTTATATGATATATGTATATTACATATGAATATATATATATATATGTATATGATTATAAAAAATTATTTAAATTATAATTAAGTAATATCATAAATATTAAAAATATTTATAATTAAATTTAAACAGAAACTCAAAAAATAATTAGACTCAAAAAAATTTAAATCAAATTAGAATTATAAAATCTGATTCATCAACTTAAATAACTCGAATCTTGTATACTCTATTAGATCAAACAGTCACAATTTTGAGACCACGCAACACGCCTTGCCGCCTCCACCGACCGTCGACCATTAGATCCTAAAAAATGTCAACTATACCACTCTGTGGATTTTATCAATTGCACTGATAGCAAAAATTTTGCATTTCAAAGTTAAAATTAAAATAATAAATAGGGACAAAAATAAATTTAAAATCTTTAATTGCTAATTAATTTAACTGATTAATGTTAATTTCTTTAAAAAAGATCAATTTCTTTTTTAAATAATTATTATTTATGGAGAAAAACAGACATATCAAATAAGAACTTTTAATCACATATTCTAGAGATTATTGATAATAATATCAAATTTTCAAAAATATATATTTTAAAATCGGATTATTTAATATTACATTTGTTGTTTAAATCGGATTGTCTTAATTAAATATCAAGCGTTACAATATATAATAATTTTACATTGTTTGATTTAGATAAATCAACAAATAAATCCAATACGAATAATATATATATATAAATATTTTGATATCATGTTTTGTGTGTGATACAGAGGGAGGGAAAAACGAGAGGAGCGATGTGTACCAATAGAAATAAATTATTGAGTCATCTAATTATTACATTGATTTTGTTTTAGTTATTTAATTATTATTTTTAAAAATAATATCTAATATTTTATTATGATTTTATTTTTATCACTCACTGGTAAAAAATAAATAAAATTATTGACGTAATTTTTTTAATGATGAAGTAAAATTATCTTACGATAATATATCAATATTATTATTATTTTTAACTATAGATAATAAAAATAAAAAAAATATAATATAATACTAAACATAATTTTTTAAACAATAGTCGAACAATTAAGATGGAATTAAAATAATAATTAAAGGACTAAATATATAATTTATCATAAAAAAATAAAGATGGAGATGGGAAGCTGGCATGGGAAGGACACACGTCTAAAGAAATCAATATCATGTGATGCCACGTTTTATATCCTAAATTTTCTCCTTTTTCTTTTCCTCTTTTTCGTGTCAACGATGCATGAAATATGAAAAAGACCTCCCACAGCTGGCTTTAACCCCTTAAACACTTACAACCATTTTTATTACTGTTATTTTGTTTAACACGTTACGCGGTTTATACGGTAAATATACATATCATTTTAATCTTAATTTACATGTTTTTTAATGTATTGTATTCTTTTTAATTTTTATTTATACGGTAAATATTGACACGTATTTTAAAAAAAAATTGGTAACGTATAATTTCAATCATATATTTTGATTAAACTCTGAGATATAACTAAGATAAGATTTAAAATTCTAACTAATGTTATCCGTAGCACCCTAAAGAAGGAGAAAAACTGCCTATAGAAACATTAGAGTGTATTGATATGATATAAAAAATAATTTAAATCTAAAAATAATAATATTGAAGAATTTATTGAGTCATTAGTGGTTAAAGAAAATATTATACATTCTTAAAATATTGAGTTTAAGTAATTACTTTTACATGATATGTATGTAAATCGATTATGGACTCGGGATACATAACAATAACGTTATGAGAAAAAATGACAAAAAATATTACATTTTACATTCTAAATAGAGAAAGAAATAAAATATCATTGAAATTTTAAAATACCGATGTTGTACATTCTATCATTTATATATATATATATATATATATATATATATATATATAATATATATAAATATATTAAGAAAAAACTATAATTATCTAAAAAATCATAATTAGGGATACAACGTATTGATTTGGTATGTACTAAAAAAAATTGATTTGGGTTAGATTTTTTATTAATTCAACTTGATTTGATAAAGATAACTATTTTATTCGAAGCTTACATAATCTAAGTTTAGATAAAAAATCTGCATTCAACTAGATGTAACATAAATATAATGAAATTTTTTATATTTATTTGATAAAATAAATAGTTAATTAAAAAAGTATAGATAAAGATGTCTGATGATAATGATCTCTAAATATAAAAAAATTATATTATTATCTCAAATCAAATTAAAAATTCTTTATCGACCTTATTTCTTTAATTTTTTTTGCAAATTAAGTCAAAGCCCGCGGGATTTAAATCACATCCCTAACCATAATTTGGAAGATTTGGTACATTAACTTAAAATTAATAAAAATAATTTAATCATACAATTCAGCTAAGCTAATTTATATGTAACTAAAAAGTATATATTTTTATTTCCAAATTATGTTTTTTCCCAAAAAGGAAAAGGGAAAAGGGAAAAGGAAAAAGCAAATCTCGTTGGCCGGAGAATAAGCGGATCCAGATAAATGAATTACATACAAAACAGTATATATATTAAAGTAGTTATACTGTACGACAACCTTAATATACGGATATCTAAAGATGTTATCAAAAATATTAATATTTTTTAATGTTTCATGTAAAGCGTTATTTAAAATATTTTTTTAAAAAATGTTAATTTCGCTACCTAATTTTTGGTAAAAAAATATATTTTAAGTAGCATCCAATATTAACAATTCCGGTAAAAAAAATAATGTCTTTTGTAGCGTTTATCGAAAATATTAAATATTTTAGATACATTAATATTAATATTTTCGGTAGAAAAAATATGTTTAATAATACTTTATCAGAAATATTAAAAATATATTAATATTTTTAATAATATTTTTTTAACCGTATATTAAAGGTGTGGTATCTTATAAATATATATATATATATATTATGTTTGATTCAATGAGTAAGAATTTCTTCCCCTGAGTATATAGTATAGTTTGTAATTGAAGGCAGATCAACTGTTGCGTTCAAATTTCAAAATAACAGCCAGAGAAAGCAACCAGGAAGCGTTAGTGAAGGACGAAGAAAAGAAACTTAAAACAAATTGCTTTCGGCAGTTCCTAACAGAGGAGAGAACCAGAAAACACTAAAGCAGAGGTACAGTTTTTGGAATCGATGAAACGAAATCAACATTTTTTTTGTTGCATTATTCTTTCGATGATAAAAAATACCCGTGCATGGTTCAACGGCCGATGCGTCGGCCTCATCGGTTGTCGTTTTGTTTCTCTCGATTTTGCTTGAGTCGGTCTAAAGTTTCTATAATAAAACGGTTCTCTGTGGATAAATCAAAGATTGCCTTTGTTATTTTGTCAGGAGATCAGGTTATTATAACTCTAATTATATATTTTTGAATTATTGTTATTTTTTAATATTGTTTTTTAGCATTTCTTTGTATAATTAGTTTTTCTGTAAGTGTGAACTTGGTTTCTTCGTCAGTGGATTTTTCCCGGGAAAAAAGAGGAAAAGATAAAATAAGAGCATTGATCACTTTCTTTTTTGCCTTTTTTTCAAAGGACCATCACGTCACTTGCTGGAAGTTCTAAAACTTAGAAATTTAGTGATTGAGTGGAGTAAGTATTTTGAATTTCTTCTAATTTAGTTTTAACTTTTGAAAAAAGAAACATCAAGTATCCATCTCTTTCTGTGAAAAAAAGAACAAAGATAAAAGAGAGGGAAAAATTCGATACTGGAGCTTGAAAAAATAGAAGAAAGTTGATGTTGAATGAGAAATAATACTTGCTTTCCTGAGAAATAGAGTGACTGTGTCATCTCTCCTGCGACATAAACAGAGTGATGAGTAACATATTCAAGGGGTCGCCGTACCGGCGGCCGAATGACGTGGAAGCCGGAAGCAGCCGCTCCGCTTACTCCGAAGATGAAGATCGTGAGCTTTCCCCTGATCCCTTTTACATCCCGAGCACTAAGAATGCTCCTATCGACCGCCTCCGCCGCTGGAGGGTAATGCCCTAATTTCTCTCTCTAATAAGATAATAGATATATTATTTGATATATTATGTGTTTTGTCAAGTTTTATATGCTGAATCTAGTATTATTTTATGCATTTGATTTTGGGTGGTTTAGATTGCTAATTTTAGGCGGATTAGAGAGAAACAGTTATATCGAGGGTTAATCGTGCATAGTTTTTTGGGTGCCTCTAAATGAATCAAGAGGACACTGAACTGCTATTTTTCTAATTGATTTTTTTACCCTCCCCCTCAATTTCTATCATTTTTGTTCCTTTCCTGTCATTTTCTCTCTTTCTTTTCGGAAATTTTAAGTTGGTCTTTCCCGTTTCTGCTCAAGAAAATATTGATGGGTATCACCTGTCTTGAATTACAGAGCAATGTTATAATTGTTTCGCTGGCTTGCTCTTTCAATTTGCTTTCTGGTTTTCTTTTCTCTTTGCTTATTTAAAAAGCAAAAGGAAATGATTTGAAGCATTATAATTGATTAATATGCATCACCAACTCATAAGATAATTATTCTAAAATTTTTTATTTTTTCATTTTATTAGTATTATTATTTACATTTTAAAATATTTGTTACTTCTATGATAAAAAAAGGTTCTGTATTCAAACGAACCTTCTAGCCTTTTGGCCTTTTGAAGTGAAAATGAATTCTGATCGAAGTAAAGGTGAATTAATGATGGCTGAAACATGGGGGGTTGGGAGATAGCTGAAACAGTACCCTCTTGAGTAAGCTTACCATAGCAAGTGAGATAGTTGTGCGGAAACAAGTAGCAATCACAAAGATTTTCACCCAACATAGCTTTGGACTCTTGCCCCCAGTTTTGGAATGGATTCTAGATTTTGCATTTATGCTTTTCCACTACCTACATAAATAGGATAATTAATGAAACTTGGAGGCCCATGCTTTTCTTATTTTCAGAAGAACTAGACAACTGTTTTAGATTATTTTTCAGTTCAAGTTTTCTTAATACTAAAAGCAGGTTGTCAAATACTTCACTTCATTGATCATAAGTAGAGAACAAGTGGAGACTAAGAATGGAAAATATTTTCATAAGTCAACAGGTGTGAGTTGGTTGCTTGAGCATGGTTGTCAAATACCCTTAACTTCCTAGTTCCTAGTGGCTGTTCCGACTTTGTGGCTTGGGGATGGTTGCTTTTCCTTTTATTCATATTCTGAGTATTTTTAGAGCTGCAAAGTTGAACCAAACCAAAGTAACGTGCTCAAACTCTCCTAATTTGATCAAGAAATGGTAACAGTATAAACCCACCCAACTTGAACCAAAATAACATGAACAATCAACTAAAATCCCAAATTACCCAAACATCACGAACAATATACACCTGCTCCATTTATACCAGAAACAACCTGAACTTCAGTTAACTAGAATCCAAAATTACCTAAACAACCTGAGCCGTATAAATCCACCCAGTTTGAACCTTACCAGACACAACCTGAACTCAAATTAACTAGAATACAGAATGATCTAAACCTGCACAAAGAAGACGAAATAAAACTCACTAATATAGGCTTAAAAGGATATGAACACAATTCTAACTGAAATGACTCAAAACAAGATGACCCTAAAATATTTCCAATCAAAGTAATTATCCCATTCCAGACCCAACTATATCTGTCTACCTGACTACTCTAGGTGTCATATCTGTTTTTTTGTCTCAGTTCTTTATGTTATGTTTGGGCTTCTTTTTTCTTTACTACTGACAATGTGAAATTACTCATAGGTACTGAATATTATTTGACTTCTTTTCTTTTTTTTCCTTTTGTAGCAAGCTGCACTTGTGCTCAATGCATCTCGTCGATTTAGATACACCTTAGACTTGAAAAAGGAAGAAGAGAAGAAACAAATTTTAAGGAAGATTAGAGCACATGCGCAAGCTATACGAGTATGTTATCCTTGATTTTAGTTTTCTCTCATTGAAATGTAGTTGCATATTTATCCCTGTAACCTTTTGTTTATGTTAGGCTGCATATCTTTTCAAACAAGCTGGGGAACAAGTAAATGGTAATTTATTTATCCTACTTATCTCCTTATATTTGTGGAATAATGTTTAAGGATAGTGCTTATATTTTACTACTTCTGTTTGATGTTCAATCCTTTACATGTTTCTATGTTTTTGGCAGTTCCGTTCAAATTATAATTGGCTATATGTTGTCTTTGCCCTTTATTCTTCACTGTCTTGCTTTATCCCAAATGTATCTCCCAAAATGCATGACTTTTTTCTTCCTTTTATTTTAAACTTTAGTATTTGGGAGTTGTTAGACAGAAGCAGCATGCATTGATAAACTGAAATGATTGTATAGTTGCGAATTTCACGTCTTAGAAAAACTGCTCATGGGTATTATATCTCTAATGAATGTTTACATTTCTAACTATTTATTATCATGCTGCTGGTCAAACCTTTGTTTTGTTCAATGCTAATGAGTATAGCCGTTGGTTACTCTTTTTATCAACTTGAACTTTTTATTAGCTGTACAATTAAGTTGATATGGCTCTTTGTTAGGTCAGTTGTCTTCTTTTCTTGATTGGATTCATCTCAAAACTTTGGTTGAATGTAGTATTCTGTTGTACTCAATGGTTCTTGCGCTGCAACTGCTTATAAAATATCAGCATTTCTATGCAGATGTTCATCACAGTGCTTTGATTTGTAGGAACAAAAATTCCACCACGAGTTCCCGGCAGTGATTTTTCTGTTGGACCAGAGCAACTTGCTTCAGTGTCTAGGGATCACAATTTTAATACTCTGCTGGAATATGGAGGGGTAAGTTAGTGAAAATAGAACATGTTGATATTATGTTTTGGTATTTTTTTCCCACTTATTCAGGTTTTATGTTTTGGTTTCTAATTCAGGTTAATGGGCTGGCAGAGTCACTAAAAACAAATTTGGAGAAAGGTATTCCAGGGGATGACTCTGATTTACTGAAACGGAGGAATGCATTTGGTTCAAACACGTATCCTCAGAAAAAGGGAAGGAGTTTTTGGGTATGTATTTAGATATCCCAGTTTCACGTTCTCTTTCTATTCTCCATGTTTGTTGTTTTTTTGGCCTCCTTGCTAATATAATGTTTATTAAAACGATCATCTTTTGTTTTTGGTTCTGAGTGTAATGTTATTATAATCTTTGCTTTCTTGCACACAGAGGTTTGTTTGGGAAGCTTGCCAAGATCTTACTTTGATGATTTTGGTGGTAGCTGCTGTGGCTTCTCTGGCTTTGGGTATAAAGACAGAGGTGAGGCTTTTTCTGTATGGTCAATTAGATTTACTTTTATATATAAAACACTCCTTATGTGAGTAATACAAATAGAAGGGGCCATCTTATGTTTCTTAAAATCATACATGAGGATGATAATCATGGTTTGTGTAATGCTGGTCTTTTGTCACATAGCTTTAAGGATTCAGATTATCTTGGTCTTGGATGCACTACTTGGATTCTAAAATTAGAGTGTCACAGCCTCACAGGGACTGGATTATATGTTCCTTAATATTTATTATCATGAGTTCCAGTAGCATTGCTAGAACATTTTTTCAGTGGTGCTATATGATGGCCAACTGTACATTTTCCCTGCATTGTAGAACTAACATAATTTCTGGAGTGTGATCAATAATTATTTTAAGTGTTATTTTTTTCCCTGAAGTGCATTATTTTTTTCTGCAAGTCTTTCTTTTTCTAAGCCTTTAGGCTTTGTAAATAAGACTTTTCAGTTTTCATCTACTGTGTTGCATTCTTCATTTACAGGGCATAAAGGAAGGCTGGTATGATGGGGGTAGCATAGCGTTCGCAGTTCTGCTTGTTATTGTTGTGACAGGTGCTCAACTGATTGTTTAAAGTTTTGCATAATGCGCGAATATTTTCTCCGTTCTGTTCTTATTAGTATTAGCTTTTAAATTTGCAGCTATCAGTGACTATAAACAATCTCTTCAGTTCCAAAAACTAGATGAAGAGAAGAGAAACATACATTTGGAGGTTGGTATCCACTGTTTAACCATTGAATTGAGTATGAACAATATGCTTCTGGAATTTATGCTCAAATGCAACCTGTCAGGTTGTTAGAGGAGGCAGAAGAGTTGAAATTTCAATTTACGATATTGTTGTTGGTGATGTTGTACCCCTCAACATTGGTGATCAGGTATGTGGCTTTATCATGTTCTTTTTACATTTAGCTTATTTTGAATGCATTTTGTCTGAATTTCTAAATATGCTCTTTAGGTCCCTGCTGATGGAATTCTAATCTCTGGTCATTCACTTGCAATAGATGAATCTAGTATGACAGGAGAGAGTGATATTGTAAGCTTTACTACCTGATGTGCTATTCAATGGAACTCGTACACTTAGATTTCTTGAAACTATTATTTCATCTTGACATAGGTTCACAAGGATGCCAAACAGCCTTTTTTAATGTCTGGATGCAAAGTGGCAGATGGAAGTGGGACTATGCTGGTAATCTTTGCTCTTTTACCTTATCTTTAAATCGTTTTATTGTGTTTTTACAGCAATCACCCTGTTCCAGTTCCCATATACACTTTTCACGCTGGATCTGAAAGTTATTGAAGTTAATTCAAAAAATTCTTCTGTTCTCTTAACCAACTTTATTTTATGTATTTGAGTACATGGGCCCTCTTTTTGATAATTTGCTTACCACATTCTAATTGGAAATATTTATGTTGCAGTTTTCACTTTCTTCTTTAGAATCAAATGTATGTTTCATGTAGATGAGAACTATATTTGGCTATTTTAGAACTTGACTATTACTGTCTTCTCTCTCTATGCTTTCTTTCTTTCCTTACTCTTTTTTGGCGTATTGAAACCTTGTATCTGTTTTTAGCTCAGCTATGATTATCTTTGTTTAAATTCTCAGGTAACAGGAGTCGGGATTAATACTGAGTGGGGTTTGCTCATGTCTAATCTTTCAGAAGACAATGGTGAAGAAACTCCCTTGCAGGTTTCTTTTTCCCATGACAACAATTGGTTAAATTTTAGGCTTTACTTGTTATCTTTACCTCAATTAATTTTTTAGGTGCGATTGAATGGGGTTGCAACTTTCATTGGTTTTGTTGGACTCAGTGTTGCTTTTGCTGTTTTGATTATCCTTTTAGTTAGGTAACTTTGGGCTTAATGACAGTATCTTTTGCTTCTCCCACTTTCTGTTTTTCAGTCACTCTGCTATTTGGTCTGTTCTTAAGGTTCTTTGAATGACTTAGGTACTTCACTGGCCACACCGAAGACCCAAATGGAAGAAAGGAGTTTGTTGCAGGCAAAACAAGTGTGGGTCGTGCTGTAGATGGAGCCATTAAGATTCTCACTGTTGCAGTATGTGCTCCTGATCTATCACCCTTTGTCCAATTGCATGTCTTATGTGCACGCTTAAGGGCATATTTGTTTTTGTATGTCTTGACATTTTGAACTTTGTAGGTCACAATTGTAGTTGTTGCGGTGCCTGAAGGGCTTCCTTTAGCTGTCACCCTAACGTAAGTTTGCTTTTTATGTAAAAGTTTTCGAAATCCAAAACACTCATGGTCCCTAGTTGTAATTTTTATTGGATATCTTGATATTGGGTTGCAATTTATATGGAGGTCGCATAAATTTCTTGCCATGTTTTTTCTCACATGTTCATTTGTCTCCTTTTCTCCTAGTTGTTTTCTGTTGTGGTGATACTTTGTACTCTTGTTGCATTGATTCCAAATTTATTTGGTTGTGTCTCGTATGGCAGATGCTGCAGTTTATGAAGTGTAATTATTCAAATAGTAGTAACAAAAATGTTCATATACATAAGTCTGACTCATCTATTCCCTTTTCTTTTTCAATATAATAGCTGTGTTATTTGATTATGATGCAGCCTTGCTTACTCAATGAAGAAAATGATGGCAGATAAAGCTCTGGTATGTGTGATGAGTACTTTTAATCTATTTTTTAGACAGGTGTGAAATTCCTTCTTTGGAATAGATTTTTCATGATGCTTAATATAGAAGTTGAGCTGCAGGTGCGCAGACTTTCTGCTTGTGAGACCATGGGTTCTGCAACAACAATTTGCAGTGACAAGACTGGTACCTTGACATTGAATCAGGCAAGTTGGGATGTGTTATTTTTTCCGCAGTTCTAAATTTCTAATTCCAGGATAGCACCAAAATCTTTGCCCTAGTGATATCAGTAAAAAACAATGTACTTAACTAAATCCGCTTCCTGGGTTTGCCTTTAAAGTGCAAGGAGAATTTAAAATATTATACAACATGTAGAGTAAATTATAGGAAGTCTAAGCCAAAACCTAAATGATTTCTACACAAACAGGTTCCGGAGGTCCCACTGGGGTGGGATAGAATGCTAGGAGAATGACCACAGTAAAAACTCTATGTCTGTCTATCAGTGTATAATGTTTATATTCTGCACAGATGACTGTGGTTGAAGCTTATGCTGGTGGCAGAAAAATTGATCCTCCAGACAGCAGTTCGGAGTTGCCTGATACACTAACTTCATTACTTATTGAGAGCATTGCTGTGAATGCCAATGGCAGTGTCTTCACCCCAGAGGTATGTCTCAGTAACTTGCATTTTTTCCGAACCATGTTTATTAAGTTGTCTTTATTAGATATCTTTTATTTTCACTTTCTTCTTTTTTTGTTTCTTTAGGGAGGTGCTGTCGAGGTTTCTGGATCGCCAACAGAAAAAGCAATTCTTAATTGGGGAATAAAGGTTACATATTCAACCTCGTAATATCTTCTTGTCCTTGTTTCTAACCGTACTAATTGTTAGTCTTTGAATCTTGTAGCTTGGTATGGATTTTGATGCTGTTAGGTCTTGCTCGTCTATTCTAAATGTATTCCCCTTCAACTCGGAGAAAAAACGAGGCGGTGTTGCAATACGATTGGTAGTGTTACTATATTGTTAGCTTTCATCAGCAATTTTTTTTATTTTTGTCTGTATTTTGAATGTTGACCCCTTTTTGTGATTGATTTTCGAGCAAAGATAAAATTAGAAATTCGATGATGTGTCCTTTTGGATGGATATTTGTTATCTGCCTTTAATATCTATTGGTCCTCTTTTCTTTTTGAGTTTTAATCTATGCATGCATACACATTCAATTGAAGTTCCATTCAGATTGTTTATGTTGCAAGATTTTGCTACTTTTATTTCATTATTTCATTTTTTTTGGAGTTTATGAAGCTCGGTTGGTGTGGTTTGCTTATGGTCATTCTTTGAGAAGGTTCTGGGTAACGGGTGACACAGTTAGGTGGCTTTTCTATTAGACGTCGGTACAAACCCTTCTGGTTTAGTATTTGACGAATCGGTAGTGAATTATAATAGTAATAGTTGAACTTGTTTTAACGCTAATGATAAAGACAGATATAGGAAGATTAGTGGCAACGGCTGCTGAATAAGTAACTTTTTTTTTCATTCGAAGGCTTATTTAATTTTTTAAAAATAACTTAAGACTTCAGATTAAATTTGTTAAGAAAAATAATACTGGTCAAATTTTCTTTCTAGATCTTTTCACCTTGTATATCAATATATCATCATATTATTACTCAGAATAACATCAATAGCGTAATTGTATATAAAATATTCTTTCATCATGACAGGCTGCAACTGTATCTAAAAATGTATTAGGTTGAACTTGAAAGATAATGGTGATTGTTTTACGAAATAATTATACACATACTTTTATTCAGAATATCTTCCTCTAGCCAGTTAAAGGGCTTTTCTTCTGATACTACCATTTTTTATGATAATTTGTCTCCCAGCCGGATGGTAAAGTTCGTATTCACTGGAAAGGTGCTGCTGAAATAGTGTTAGCTGCATGCACTTCGTATCTTGACAGTAACGGTGAAACTGTAGCAATGGACGAAGAAAAGGTTTGAGAAACTTTGCCTGTGGGGATACTGGTGGTGTCTCCTTTTTCTTTAATCACTTTCTTTTGAATCATGGTTATTGTATTGTTTTATTTCTTGAACTTTTTCTGTATTTCAGTTCTGTTGTTTATAATGCTTGTAATTTGATGCTGTTAGGATTGGGTTGCTAACATTTGAAGAATTTGTATTTCTTGAAATTCTTGTCTTCAGGTGGCCTTTTTTGAGAAGGCAATTGAAACTATGGCTTCTGGTAGTTTGCGCTGTGTTGCTATTGCTTACAGATCATATGAAAGTGAAAAGGTTCCAACTAATGAAGAAGAGCTTGCTCGATGGGCTGTACCTGAAGACGACCTTGTTTTTCTTGCTGTTGTTGGTATAAAGGTATCTATCTCAGGGAATAATTATGCACTTTCATGTCTTTATCTTGGTCCATTTTTTATTTATTATTTGCACATGGGGAAAGAGCTTAGTCATGTCATGGTCATTGTTGTTTGAGGCGTTTATGCTTACTTCAATGCTCATATATGGAGGACAGATCAGACGATATGATAGAAGCACTAGCACTGCCTTGTCATTCTCCACTGATAATCTTCGTGAAATGTTTGTTTATTGCCCTCAATATCATTCTGTACCATCTTCATTTTCCGCAGAACTTTCTCATTCCTCTTGATATATAAAATACCTTTCCTCATAATAGACTTTTCCACCCTTTGCAAGTTTTGCCTTCCATGTGAAACACCTAAATTAGCAATTAAGGAAGTCCTTATGCTATAGTCTGATCCTTACTACTTTTCGCAGCTTCATTTTTCATCATTCTTTTCTCTATTTGGGATAGTGTAATTTTTTCCTCATTTATGGTATATTTTCATCCCTAACCAGTCTTCATCCTTGAATTGCAAATTTGTCTTCTTGTGAGTGAAGTGCTGTCTTCAACTGTGTCAGATTGCAAAATGCAAGGAATTAAATAAAAGGTTGAAGATAGCTATGAGACCAACAGTGTATTATGAATTTGAATGTTGAGCGTGTAAGTGTTAACATTCCCAAGAAAATGAGCATGGTTGAGAAGATGTAGCTGGGAATAAGTGTTGAAGAGAGATAATATGTGCTCAGACAACATCAGAAAACAGTTTCATTTGGTTGAGACATGTAAAAGGCGACTACAAAATTCATCAGAATATTCAGTTAAAGGATGATACCCATGTTAACAGAAAGTAAGACCAAAGAGGATAGGGTTGGAAACTGTAAAATAATGACTTCTAGCTTTCTTGAGCTTACTGAGGATATTGCTCTGAGTTCAGCTGACCTAATATGATTCATTTGACTAACGTTAAATATTTAGAAAGGCTCAGTTGTTTGTGGACTTGTAGTTTGAAGTTTGTAAAGAATTTAACATTCACGAATGTTATGAATTTAGTTTTTGCTCGATTTGTAATATGCTTTTTAATTACTTTTGAGAATTTATGCAGGATCCTTGTCGGCCTAGTGTCAAAGAATCAGTGCAGTTATGCCAAAAGGCTGGTGTCAAGGTATAATTATTTATATGATATATAACTAACCACTATTAAAACCATATGATATAAAACCAATGTTTTTTGTGGTGCCTTGGGTTATATTTTACCACATCTCCCTACATTCTATCTATAAGATCTGATTATTATACAAAATAGTCCTTTCGTTTTCAATGACATTAACTGTTGTATTTTTCTTTCTTTGCCTTTCATCTTCTAATACTGATATGAAGTTGGAGGTTGATTATAAAAATACGAGTAATTTAGAGATTTTCCATCTTTGTTCCATAGGTACGCATGGTCACTGGTGACAATCTTAAAACAGCAAGGGCGATTGCTTTAGAGTGTGGAATATTATCGTCAGATGCGGATGCATCTGAGTCAAGTCTCATTGAAGGGAAAGTTTTCCGTTCTCTAACTGATTCGCAAAGGGAAGAAGTTGCTGAGAAATTATCTGTATGTTCTGCTTTGCCATTCATTTTCTGAATTTGCCTTGCGGTTTAAAAAAATGATCAAAAGAATTTAAATTATGTTATTGATGCATAGGTGATGGGACGATCATCACCCAACGATAAACTTCTGCTTGTCCAAGCATTAAGAAGAAGGGGACATGTTGTTGCTGTAACTGGAGATGGAACCAATGATGCTCCTGCTCTACACGAGGTCTGATATTCATTTTTCTTTTTCTCGACTATCAATCAAGATAAATTATTATGTCATTCTAGGATCTTCTTCTTTATTTTTCCTTCCAGAATGTAAGGCAATTTAAGTTGGAACTCTATAGTCCAAACCATCCTGCTTCTAGTGCAATGCAAATTATAAAATTTTGGTTACCAGAAGATGGCTACACCAGCTTATTTGACTGCAATTATTAGGAATGGATTCAAGGCTAGACGATCTTAATCATTAAACATGGTTTCATGTGATTAGCATTCAATTGCTGAATTTCTTGTCTTTGGACTACAGGCCGACATTGGTCTTGCAATGGGTATTCAAGGGACCGAAGTTGCAAAAGAGAGTTCAGATATCATCATTTTAGATGATAACTTTGCTTCGGTTGTGAAGGTATTGTATTCTTTTCTTCCCATTTTATTACTTATCAGAAATGTTGGAAGCTTCTTTTCTTAAATCAACATAATCATGAATATCTTATGAAATTAGGTTGTCAGATGGGGTAGATCTGTTTATGCAAATATCCAGAAATTCATCCAGTTTCAACTTACGGTTAATGTCGCAGCTCTTGTTATAAATGTTGTAGCCGCTGTTTCATCTGGTGATGTTCCTCTGAATGCAGTACAGGTTTGTTCACTGTGTGCTTATATGCATTATTTCTCTCAACTATTATGAATATACGAGTATTGTATTCTACTTTCACTCTGTGCACAGCTTCTTTGGGTCAATCTTATAATGGATACTCTTGGAGCATTAGCATTAGCTACCGAACCTCCAACCGACCATCTGATGCACCGCCCCCCTGTTGGTCGAAGGTATGAAATTTTGATTAAATCTCGATTCATTTCCCTTCCAAATAAGGATTATGTTAAAATGATGGTTTGCTTTGTCAGGGAGCCTCTTATAACTAATATCATGTGGAGAAACTTGCTTATACAGGTAACGTTTAATTGCCTTACTCCTAAACTATGCTCTTCTCCTGGTTACTGTGGCTCATGGCTAAACGATGGTGATTTTACTAAGCTGGTATTGTCCATGTAAATTTCAGGCTGTATATCAAGTAACTGTCCTGCTCATTCTCAATTTTGACGGCAAGAAGATATTGCATCTGGAACATCAAAGCAGCGAGCATGCTACCAGAGAGAAGAATACACTGATATTCAATGCATTTGTCCTTTGTCAGGTAAGCCACAATTACTCGATAAGAACTTAATAGAATTTAATACTGTTGGATTAAATATAGTACTTATTAGGGGCTTATGGCTTTTGCATGCTACTAGAACTGATAAGCCCCGTTTTATGATCGAGTCTTAACTTCTGTTTTCTTCTCGTTTGCTTTTTGTTGAAACATTGTTTTCTTCTCGTTTGCTTTTTGTTGAAACACCGGCTGTATTGTTGTTTGGCAACTATCCTTTTCAGCTAGCATAACTGAAATCAGGGGTGCCACGACTTGTCTGCGCCCCCACCCTCACCCACCAGAAACACACTATTGTTAGTCAGATTAGAAAATCTCGTTTTTTATGTTTTGGCAGCGACTGGTAAATGTTATTTTTCCTCGGCTGATCATATTTGTTGCCTTCTTAATGGAGTTTAAATTAGTGACCCGAATAAGCTTGAATTTGAATATGCAACTAACAACAACGGATTGATGTAAATATAACTTATGTTAATTGCAGATCTTTAACGAATTCAATGCTCGTAAGCCGGATGAAGTGAACATTTTCAGAGGACTCAGTAAAAACTATCTGTTCATTGGGATCGTGGCAATAACAGTAATACTTCAGGTGAGATTCGTATGTTAGCAATCGATCTGATCAGCGTTCATTCTAGTTGTTTTCTTGGTTCTACATTCTTTTTTCTCATTGTCCAGGCTGTCATCGTCGAGTTCCTTGGGAAGTTTGCTAAAACCGTGCAGCTTAGCTGGCAGCTATGGCTGGTATCGGTTGCTATTGGTTTCATCAGGTTGATAGTTTTTCCTACGTGGATTTGAAGTTAAAAATTATATATTTTCAAGAAAAATCTTAATAATTTTGATTATAATCTTAAGAGTTCATCTAATTACTGGTTTGCTTTTCAATCAGTTGGCCACTTGCTCTCATTGGGAAGTTTATACCGGTGCCGGAAAAACCTGTCAGCAAGTTCTTTTCGAGAATTGTTAAACGTCGAAGAAAGGAAAGTAAGAATCTTCATTTATGTCTGTTCTAGATTTGTCAAATTCGAGTCTAATCCGAAAACTTGACCTAAACTCGATTTAACCATAAAAGTCAAATGTCTGAATTTGCTTATGACTTGATTTAGAATAACAACCGAACCAGAATAACCCTATTGGAAAGTCTAGTCTTATTTGAGATCATTTGGTTATAGTTTCTTTTTGAATTGTTTCTTATAGCCATGGTTATTCGATCAGTTATCTGGATCGGGTATTACAAAAGTTCATTATGGAGATGTTCTTTTCAATATATAGTTTTTTTTTTCGTTCTTTCTTATTTACAGTGTTAAAATTCGAATTTTGATCTTGAAGTTGGTGTTTTATTTCATCAGATTAATTGGTGATTGATATTTGATTATATGCTTTAGTGGTCTGATTATTTCGTTTTCCACTCGGATCTTTCAGGTAGTCAAAAGCATGGCGAGTCAAATGCTGCATCTTAAAAGACAGTTCCCCCTTCTTTTCGGAAACTGGCCTTATTTAACACGAATCCGATCATAGACACGGAGAAGTTGAACGACAACGTTTTCGGATTTCGTTTAACCCCAACTGCTGTGTGTTGAAATAGAGTCGTGTTCTTAAATACATCAATGTCTTGGTTAGAGCTTGGTGAATACCGTTATCATTTACACCTGTTTATATATTTCCTTCTCGAAAAGAGCTTGTTGATGGTTTTTCTATATTTTGATTCTTTTATTTGTTTTTGTTATGAGATAGGTACACCTGTACTATGGCATTAGTCATAAATTTATGGTTGAACTTTGTTATTTGATATAATTGTATGTATGAAATTTCTATTTTTGTTTGCATAAAATTTGATTTTAATTCAATTATATATAAATTTTGAAAATAAATGTTTATACATCTATTTGCTCTCGTAGTAGATATAAAAAGTAATATTATGTTGATAACCATATTTGCTTTTTTTTTTTAAATGAGCGAATATATATGAGATAAGATCTTATTATATAATATAAAATTTTTTTAGTTTTCTATAGATTTAGGTCTGTTGGATGATGAGTGAAAGTAAATGATTGAGGTTATTGAAAATGAGAAAATATTTATTAAAAAAAAAATTGAAATTAGTTATTTATTTTTTCATCTAATGGTGTATAAAATTAAAGAGTTTTATATTATGTAAGTGGATTTTAATTTATATATATATATATAATATTTTGGGGAATGTATGCTTTGAATTATTTTGTATGATAATTGACGCTACTGGCAATATGTCATTTTACAAAGAGTTGATTATATATCATGCGTTTTTTAAATGTGAATTTATTTTAAATTAGTTTTTGAACTCTTAAAGATTTAATTCTAGTTTTAAACTATGATTCTTTATTTTAAATTAATTTTAAATGTTTTAGTTTTATTTTTAAATTATGAAATTTATTTTTAAATTTGGTTTTAAGTGTATGCACGTTTAGTTTCATCTATTATTGATACACTAGTTATATCCCGTTAACAAGAGTATTAGGTCGAAATTGTATTATTCAATTTTAAAATGTTATTTTTTAAAAAATAGAGTCGATTTACTATGATTAAGAAATTAACACTTATCCTGGACCGAGTTAACTGTAAAAATGAAAGAGGAATCTAGAAACAATAAGAGTAATAAGGTAAAAATAATTTAAAAAAATGATGAAAAATAAATAAAAGTTAATAAAGGTAGAAGAATTCGATAGTAATGATACAGTCTTAGATTTTGTTAACCTAAATTTCGATTGACCATTGAAATAATTGTCTCTTAGATGGCACATTGTCTAGTCAATTCTAATTATAATGTCTTTTCGATAATCTTCTTAAATTCCAAGATTGAATTTTCATCAACGGAAATCATAAATTTAATACACAATAAAAGGATATTATAGATCTATCCTTTTTAGATACTGAATAGAGTTATCGTTGATATTGAAAAAAAAAAAATTTCTTAGCTCGTGATCTGAACAAGTCGCACATGCACTCTAGTACATTAACCTCGGTGCTGAGGACATCCCCCAAGAGCAGGGGATTTCGTGACATTTCTAATTTGTTGTCTTCAATTTCTAATAAGTTGTTTAATAGTTGACATACTGAATTATACACATAGTATATTGGTTTAAATCGATCCTAACCAGAAGATTGTGAATTATTTCTTTTTGTATTTAAAAGATTAATAAAATATTAACCCCTTAGGCGAACTCAATATTGATTCCTTTTAACGGGTCGTTGTTAAGTTTGTTTGCAGGAAACTAAATTACAGCCAATCGATCCAACTTCCAAATCGCAAGTCAAAACAACCTTCAAGCCAACGATTTTTTTTTGAGTTGGAGTAGTAATTTATAAAAGAATAGTCGATTGTCACTCCTAATTTTCAGAGAATCGAATAATATTATTCGAAGGAATAACCGATTGTCCAATGTATTTATACGGATAGTCCTAAATATAAAATAACTAAAAATCCTAAATAAAATATAAAGACAAAAAGAAGGTTTATCGCAAAAGATATAAATAAATATTTGAAGACTTGTAGTTTTGGTTGAATTATGTTTTATCTTCTCGATAGGCTCTTATTTATCTTCCAGGCATTTATCTTTAAGATAATTTTGAATTTTGACGTTAAGATAAATGTTGGGTTGTTTTCTAGAAGCTGCAGACTGTACCATCGAAATCTATTGCGTCAGACTCATAATGCATCGAGCCTTAGGTCATGCCTATGACTCTTGCCACGATTCTTGGTGAAATTTTGGATTCTTCCTTTAACTGCTGGTTTTTTTTATTTTTATTTTTTTCCACAAATTTATTTAATGAAGCTCCTGATCAAAATAAACAAAAAAAAGTCAGTAATATCTAAGTGACAAATGATAAATAAATCATTCTTAAAACATACAACATTCTATACATATCATAAAAATTTAAGTTATAATTGAAATTAATTACGTATGAATTTGAAGATTAGATCGAAATTTAAATGTTCGAATACTAATTTAAAATGACTATTATAATCATTTTTATACTCTAAGAATTATAGTTTAGAGATAAAATTAAATATTTAAAAGTTTAAAAATCAATTCAATAATGAAATCATAATTTGAGAATATATGGTGTAATTAATTATTTTATAAATTAAATGTAAAATTAATTTTACGAAAAACTAATTATACTATTAATAAAACATTACTACGATCAAACTGACAAGGAAAATGGAAAAACTTAACTGATCATTTAGAATTCAGATTTGAAAATTGCGGGAACAAATAACTAACTCCGATCGTCAAAATCAAAGTTAAATATCTAAACAATAAGAAACTGATCAATCAGGATCCGCATATCTATCATTGTTGCTGGTGGTGGTGGACGACGGGAGAGTGTGAGTATCAATTACGTCAAAAAATGTGGCTCATGTTTGAGATTCCTTCCGAAGAACCGGTGCCACTTCCAGTTGTGGCGGCGCTGGTCGCCATACTTACCGTTCTTCGCTTCTCCTCCCCGCGCAGTGCAGCTCGTGCTTGCACCATCGTCAACTCAACCACTAATGTCAACGTCGGAACCACGAAAATGCATTTTCTGGGAGCGCGAGGGCTCTCCTTTTGACCTCCTTGATTTTGGTGATCGTCGTTCACTGGCGTTCCTCGTCGCCGTCTTCCGATACCGCCGTCGTGGGGAAAGGTTTGTGTTTCGATCTCTCTCGGCTTTCACTTTACATGGCGCTCAAACAGCATAGCTTATGGAAATCTGTGTTCTTCTACTATTTTTTTGTGAATAATATTATATATTAGGCTTCAAATCTATAGGGTTTCGTTATAAGATTTGATCTCCTTTTTCCATATTAATTTGAATATTATAAAGAGTGAGTTTAGATTTATATTTATTTCAATTAAGATATATTATGATTAGTAGTTCAATTATAAGTTATAATAATTATTCTTATAATTGTATTTTAAAGAATATTTTGGATCGAGTATTAATTAATTCAATTAAAATAAGATTTGATTAGAATGAGTATTAGTTCAATTGATATTAATATTATTATAGTTTCCAAAGGTATTTTGATTATAAAATATATTCTTAGGATTTGAAAGTTAGCAATGGATTAGAATAATTTTTTTTAAAAAAAGATTAATAAATACTAAAATCTCTTTATAAAATTTTAATTAAAGCTATTCACTGTGCTTAATTTAAATATTTACCAACAATATTTAGAAGTAAAACCAAGAAAATAAGTTAAAATACACTCTAAATCCCTATACCTTGTTGATTATTTAGAATTTAGTTCATGTAATTTCCAAAATTATAAAAAATTAAATCTAATAGTTTAGATCATTAGATTTCTTCTATTAAATCGAGATCAGTTACAACATTATTATTTTGAATGTCATGTCCACCAATTTAATAGAAAAAAATTAACAAGATTAACAGTTAAACTTAAAAATTTAAATCAAAAAAAATCTAAAATGTTAAAAATAAAATTAGGAAGATCAAATTCTAAATGTACAAAGAGTACATGGATTTGACATATATTTTAACCGTAAAAGAATTAGTCAAAATTAAAATTAAGTGTAAACTAAGTATTTAGTCACCCAAATATCACTTTAGTTTCATTTTGGTGATCAGCTAATTATTATTTTTAAATAATTACTAACATTACATTTTAGTTTCATTTTAATCACCTATCAATAAAAATTAACTGAACTGATGACGTGGTATTATTTTATTTTTCCAATGATGACATGGAAATATCCTATGGTGACATGTCAACATCATTGCCAATTTTTTAACGACGGATAACCAAAATGTAATGTCATTGATAACTTTTTTAATGGTTTAGGGTGATTATAACTACAAGATCGTATTTGTTCAAATCTTTCTTAACCATTCATAATGCACCTACACCCACAAATACAATTGCTTGAACCCAAGACCTCTAGGGAGAACAACACTCCCTTTAACCATTGAAGTCACTTGATGAGTTCAACGTTAGTGATGATTTTTTTAAAAAATGTAATTGGGTGATCAAAATAGAACTAAAGTGATAGTGTTGCAACTAAATACTAAGTTTATCCAATTAATTATTAGTTTCATTGGGACATCATCGTCATCATTCTTTCTCATCAACATTTAATCCTTCAATTCTCTCCACAGCCTCCTTCAAATCTAATCTCTTCTCCATATCCAATTCACAGCAACTCAACCCAATCTTCAACAACTCAACAATCAACCGTCTATCACCATCGCTTATTTCCCCAATATCTTTATCCAAAATCAAATCAATCTTCTTCACATAATCTTCATGATCATCACCCACAACGGACGTCACCCACACTGCCAAATCCTGATCATCGTTCCTTTTCCCCTTGTGCAAGAAATTCGTAGGGAATTTTCCCGTCAGAATCTCTATAATCAATACCCCGAGGCTCCACAAGTCGGTTTTCTTCGTTATTCTCCCGGTTTTGACGTACTCCGGTGATTTGTAAACCACCATGAGTTCTTGAGCGCTTTCTTGGTTGATAACTGGGATTAGGCTGTAATCCATGAGGAGAGGTTCAAAGGATTCGTTCAGGAGAACGTTTGAGGATTTGAGGTGGCCGTGGGGTGCTACTAAACCTGGTAACTCTTTGTAGAGATGGTAGAGGCCTCTGGCTACACCTTTCACGATGCGCAACCGTGTTGGCCAGTCGAGAGGCGGTTGACCTAGGCTACGATGACCTGCAAAAAACAAGAGTTATCAGTTATGGATCTGATTAGAAATGGTTAATACTCAATAAAAGGGTTTTATTTATTTATTTATTTATTTATTTATTTATTCTGACACTATAGAAGATATAAATGATTGTTATTTCTATGTGAATGTGTTGGCATTTGAGATTGGACAATATGCTTATAGGGTAAAATAATTTCTAGAGGCAAACTATATCATCATTGAATTTTAGATGTTAATTTCCAGTAAATCGTTTTTCCTTCGTAAATGTATCAATTTTATCATTAAATTTTAAAACACTTAAAATATAAGTTTTGAGTTTTAGTTTTCCTATCAATTTCATCTATGTAAAATCAGTTTTTTTGGTAAAAGTTCGATAGCAAAAAGTAACGAAGAATGATAGTTTTCAATCGTAATTAAAATTGAGTAAAAAAAGGTCTTAACTTTGATGAGAAATACGATGGTGTATAATTAAAAAAATCAGTTTTTGGCTGTTACACCATTATCAAATTACTGTATCATCTAGATGTTTAATAATTTAGTGTGACAATACTTTGATTAAGCTCGAAATTAAAGTAGTTTAAAGTTTATTAGTGAAAATGATACGCTACTTAAATTTGGGTCATGTATATGGTTGTTGATGGTGTATTGAATTCCTAAAAGTAGCAAAACTGATGATATTTCAAAGTAATGAATGACTAACCATGAAGATGAGCAGCCAAGCTTCCATTGGGAACAAAATCGGAGACGAGAAGCTTCTCTTCCCTCCTATAAAAGTAAGCAATGAGGGGAAGCAAGTTCTTATGTCTCAATCTCCCCAAGCTTTTCATATGATCATGGAACTCTTCTTTCCCCGCGTTATTCATCTGCTGAAACCTCTTCACCACCATTGCTGGCTCTGTCCGTATCGCCGCCTTATACGACGCCCCGAAGCTTCCACTTCCCAACACCTCGGCCGAGGATTTCAGTAGCTCCGTCAAATCGAACTTCTCCCTATCATTCATCAAGAAACAAAGTTTTACGGCCTCCGCTTTTCGAACTGCCGGAGGCGGAGTCTCCACCGATTTCGGTGGTTGCTCTCTGCGCCGATCCATTAAGAAGCCGGTAAATATGGAGAATAGTATTAATACCCCGGCTAAGAAAATGATCATGAAAAGCCATATCGGTGATCTCATGATGTTCGGTGGAGGGGGAGGGGCACCGGTGGTGGAGGGTTTGGAAGAAGCGACGGTGGGGGTGGGCGGAGGAGCGGGCGGAGGGGGTGGGGATGGAGATGGGGAGGGGGATGGGGAGGAACATTTTTTCTTCAATGGTGCTCCACAAAGACCTTTATTACCTGCATGCAACCAAAGAAAAGGATAGGTTTTTAAACTACTAAAAAAAATTCATGTTTGAAAAAGAGGTTTAATGTTGTTGAAAACACTTGAATTTTAAAAAATATCAATTAAATCCTACTTTTTTTTGCACTAATTAAGTTATTGTGCTTTAAAATTTTATCAATTCACCCCTTTGTTCAACATTGATAGTTAAATTTAATATTTTTTTAGATCATTTGATACCACAAGTTACATAATTAAGTGGTATTTTCAGAAATTTATTTTTTTTAAATTAAAATTATTTTAAAATTTCTTCAAAAATATGTAAATTTCATGTCATAGATTTATATTGTATAGTGTAATAATAATATTTCAGAAAAAATATTAAAAATTAACTATCAAATTAGTCAGAAAAGCATAATTGATTTGATTGTTATATTTTAAAAAGTAATTTATTTAATTTTTCAATTTAAAAGTCTAATTGTGTGTAGAAAAACAAAAAATTTGATTATATTTTTCGAAAAACTGATACTTTTGACATTATTTTCATTAATATTTATAACATCAACTATAATAAACCTCGCCGGAATTCAATCACACTCACCTGAAAACATGGTAGCAGTCATCCTCCTAAGCCTTACCGGTATAGGACCTTCCAATTCATTGTTCGAGAAGTTTGCTACTTGTAGGTTCGTCTGTCTAAAGTCAGGTATCCGACCCGAAAATTGATTCCGATCGAGTTTAATCTCTTTCAGCTTAGGAAGATCCAACACCGACGAAGGAATCTCACCGGTGAACTTATTTCCCGACAGATACAACTTCATCATCTTAATTAAACCTTTGAATGCATTCTCCGGAATGTCACCGGAAAATTGATTCTTCGACAAATAAAGGGATTTCAAGGTTTTAAGTTTCCTGAAATCCGGCATGGAACCATTGAAACGATTGTTCATAAAGCTCAGGGATTTCAAGTTGGGAAACCCAGTCAATGTATTGACATCAATGGTGCCTGATAATCCCATGCCCTCGAGCTGCAGACCCAAGACGGAGCTGTTCATGCAAACGACGCCGACCCATCTCGAGCGGTGGCCGTTGCACGGCGGCTTGGGGCTTTTTTCCCAATCCAAATGACTAGCATTTCTTAAAGAAGCTTTGAATTTCAAAAGGGTGTCCGGTTCAGATAACGAATAAGAATGAACAAAAAGCATCGACGATATCGAAAATAGTATGAAACGGAGGTAAAACTGAGATGTGGCCATGGCGGAGGGTTTCGTTGACGTTCTGTGAAGGAGGGCGGCGCGTGCACCCCTTCGCCACGGGACCTACAATGCGGATGAAACCAAAAGGAGAAAAAAATGAGAAGTGGTGGGGATTTGGATGGCTTTGAAAGAGGACGAGAGATTGAGTTGCTAATAATGGATTGAGTTGTTTGTTAAATGGGTGAGTTTCAACGAAGGGCTCTGCATGTGTTGCGTTCATAACGTCTTCGTCTTCTCCTTTATCTGTCACATTCCTTATTTAAGTTCAAATTTTGTGAAATAAATTTCAGGTTTTCAATTTTCAGACATTTCAAGCAACTCGAGTGTGGATTTATGATTTAGAAGGTTAAGTTGTTCGAGTTGTTCGTGGAAGAACGGAATCACAGAACAAATTATTTAATTTTAAAAGAATTAATTATATTACACCTTCACAATTTCTGACTGTTATTTCAGATTCATTCCTAAACTTTTGCACGTTTCATTTTATTTATAAACTATGTTTCTCATTATAAATTAGTTGTCTAACTTCTGAGCATTATAATTTCATCCATAAATTATGACTCTCATTTTAAATTGATCTTAGAACTTTTGAATATTTCAATTTCATCTTAAACTATTGATATATGCTAATCGCATCCACTGTTAATAAAATCATTAGGCCAAGTTCTATTATTATATTTAAAAAAAATGTTAAATTATGGTTGAAACTAATTATATATTTGGATAAATTTAGCATGAGATTAGAATATTTAAAAGTTTAAAGGTTAATTTAAAATAAAGGTCATAATTTAAGGATAAATTTAAAATGTTTAAAAGTTTGAGGATAATTTAGAATAAGAGTAATGATTTATGAGTTTATAAACGTGTCATGTATTAGTTGGCTACATTCTAAAATAAATAAATTTGACACAGATAACATGCCATGTGTTATTAGATTTTTTTTTTAATTCTGCGACCATAGTGATAAATGCAAACATTTTTTTTTTGTAATTTTGAGTTTAAACATTTGTATTCATAAAATATGATGTGTATGTATGCACTATTAATGACTAAAAAATATTTTAAATAAATATTATCTTATAATTACTGTAAATTAAAAATTTGAATTTGAAATTAATATTTTTTAATTTATTCAAAAATAATAATATAATTATCTATATATTAAAAGATAATTCTTATAATACTCTTATATGTTATATATTTTTATTTAGATTCATAATTTTTATACAAATTTGTTTCTTATATAAACGTGAGTTTAAGTTAAATATAATTTTTTCATCTTAAAATTTAAATTAAATATTAAATAACCCAAAATCTCAATCTGATTCAGTTCGATCATGATGACTCTTATATATATGTGTGTGAAAAGATTATATAAAACTTATATACATCTAGTATAAGAGTGAGTAAAACTCGACTCGATTTAATTTTTTTTTTATTTTGAGTTATTTGAGTTAACTCGAAATATCAATTCGGTTTTCGAGTTCAAGTTGAAGTTTCAAAATTTCAAGTAACTCGAAAAATAAAAAATTTGTATGAGAATTTTGACATATTTATGATTTGGTCCTTAATTTCCTATTAATTCAATTCCTTCTTCATTTTAAGTCAATTTTTACTAAATTTTAACCACATGCTCCTAAACCATCATAGAATATATATGTCCTATCAGTTTCACTTTTTGATAGAAATTTTTTTATTGTTTCAATTTAGTCTCTCATTTTTGCATGATTTCCGTATTTATTCAATTCATCTTTCATTTTAAGTATGTTTTTTACCAAATTTAAACCACATGCTCCCCTACCATTATAGAATACTTATATAACTCCAATTATTATTATTTTTACTAAAATTGTACGCGTCTTTTTAATTTAATCATTCAACTTTGCATTTTACTCATTTTAGTTCTTTGACTATAATTGTTTACAAATAATTTCTTCACATCGGATCTTTGATCCCTTTATACTCCTATCAATAGGGATGACAACGGGTCGGGTTCGGGCCGGGTATTGGTCCCCACGTCCCCGTCCCCGTTTAAAAAACCGGTATCCGTCCCCGTTTAAAAAACCACGGAGATTTAAACGGAGATCCCCGTCGGGTAATCGGGGAAAACCGCGGGAAACGGGTATCTCCGTTTAGCATAAACGGTTATTTAAACGGGTATTGGGCCGAGATTCGGGCCGGGTATATATATATATATATATATATATATTTAAATTAAATATATATTTTTTATTTAAATTAAATTTATTAATATTATATATATATAAATAATTATTTTTAATATTTATCGGGTCGGGTATCGGGCCGGGTAATCGGGTAATCGGGGTGGGGATTACCAAACCCGTCCCCGCCCCCATTTAAAATAAATAGATTTTCCCCGTCCCTGTCCCCGTCTCCGTTATCATCCCCGAACCCGACCCGTTTAATTCGTTTTCGGTTTTTCCCATCGGGTTCGAGTTTTTTTGCCATCCCTACCTATCAATCATTTATCCTCAAAATATCTTCTTTGAAATATAATAATGAAAATATATTTTATAATTTTAGATTGTACGTGATATATTAAATTATAATATAATGCGAAAAGAATATAAAGAAATATATATATATATATCTTATATAGTTAGAAATAGTCTAAAAATTGGAACAAATATGTATTATACTATTATAAATAATTATAATTAAATTAATATAAAAATTCTAATAGCTCAATTTGATTCGAAAATAAATTAAAATTATAAAATACAACTCATTAATTCAAATAATTTATTTTTTTTAATTAACTTGAATGGATTGAATGTTCACTCACATAACACCACCATGCCAAGAAGAAACACTCTCGCGAAGGAATGAATAAAATATACTAACGCCTTTAATCATTAAACAGAGGAATCATTAAAAAAAGGAATAATTTCGGGTATTTTAGATAGTTATTTGAATCCTTTATTCGAATTTAATCAATTCTGATTCTGAGCAAAGATAAATTCACATCATCTAAGCCATCCCGTTCTTTCACTATCTTCATCTTACCCTAATTTTATCGGACGAGCAAGATGGCTGACGCAATTTGGGCAGAGATTGAGCGTTCCGAAAGGTAATTTCAATGACTAATTTGATGAAATTTGTTTTTAGATTAAAGTTTTTATGTCTTTATTGATAAATTTCGTTTGATTTTTTGTAAAAAGTTTCCTGGTTTGCTCCATGTATGAAGAGGCTGCATCCTTAGCTTCCTCCATAATAAAGAAAATAGGCCGACCCAAGCATTCCGTTGATGATGATTTTGAGTTTGATTTGTATGAAGCCATGGAGGCCGCTGGTATGGTCTTGGTTCAGTCCTTGAAACAACTTTCGAGGTACAGCTACCTTCTGTTTTCTTTGTTTTCTGGGAGGGACAATGGAAAAAAGAACATGATATGACTTCCTTTTTTGCTTATTATATTTGTTTACGATGTTATCTTATGCAGGACATCTACGATTCTGAATGAGCTCAAAACTTTGTTTGTTTCAGTTGAAGCAATCCCTGTTCAAGTTCTTCTTATTGGGTAATCTTTTTCTTTCTTCTATATGTGTATGTTATCTTGACTCCAGAATGAGTGTCGGGTATGAATATGTGTTTGATACGGATATGCTTTATCTCTTTATGTATGCATATATATTTCGAGGATCATATCCCAATTCCTTTGTCTGAATTTAAAGAAGATAAAGAGTCTGAGTGGCATAGCAATTCATTCAAAATGCTTCCTATTTTTGTGTTCTAAGTGCTTCTCTAATCTTAAAAAGAATATCACATGGTTTCCAAATTGTTATCCCATTCCGAATCCAGCTTCATAGGTGGTCAAAGTGTTAAATTTTACCCCTTTTCTTCTTTCAGCCAAAGTCAAATTGATCCTTGTCTCTTAACTTTTTGGTTTTACTATTACTTCTGATGAGTGTACAATGATGCTTCCCTCTTTCTTATTTTTTGAGGCTAGTGATTTAATCATGTTGCGGTTTGACATTGCCATACTTGTCGAGGTCTCACTTGTGAATGAAAGTTGTACATTCACCCTTACCAATATTACATTTTTACTATTACTTCTGATGAGTGTACAATGATGCTTCCCTCTTTCTTATTTTCAGAGGCTAGTGATTTAATCATGTTGCAGTTTGACATTGCCATACTTGTCGAGTTCTCACTTGTGAATGAAAGTTGTACATTCACCCCTACCAATGTTATATTATATAACGTCCAGTTTAAATGCTTCAGTCATCTTGATTTACCACTGTACCATAAACATGATCGAATTTAGCCTTGGTGCTAAATTTCCTTCCATTTTTTAATTTTCAGTGTATGTTTCCAAATATCAGAAGGTTCTACTTTAGGAGCCAAAGAATTTCTTGAGGAATTTATAAGCAAGTGGAAATACGTGGACGAACATTATTATGTCCTTGCTAGTGCTGAAAGAAGTTTGAATTTCAAGGAAGGAAGTGATAGTTATTTTGTCCTGGGAACTGATACGTATATTCAAGTTGTTGAGCTGTATGCTGTCATGCTTCTTGGAACAGTTTCCAGTGATGTCGATCTTGCTATCTCTTGGGTCAAGCAAGCTGCTTTGCCAGAGAAAAACCGACAGGTAATATATGTTAAGCATAATTTTCTGTCTTGGTCCACTGTTAGATTGAGTCGTTTGCTTGACTGGTGTTGAATGTTCTTGATTCTTATTAATTATGAGGGTATATTTTTAGTTTTCTTGTTGAATAGAAGAGTATTACACCGACTTACTATCTTTCTATGTATATTGTTCTAGGAACTTTTGAGAAGATTGCACTCCCTATATTCCACAAAGGTAACTCATTTATCACAAGGCTCCTTGTCACCTTTGCCTCTAGCAAACCATGAATCTCATTCTTCTGCTAAGGGGTCAAATGTGTCTGAGGGGACATCGAGAGGATTACAGGCCAGCTACCTAATTAATGGAGAGAAAGATTTAAAGCAGTCCAATTTGAAATTGTACAGACAATCACATGGCTTTTTATCTTGGTTTCGTAATATCACTTTGAAGTTTGGTAATCATCAGATGGTCATATCAAATGGTAACATTTTGATTGGCTGTCTCATCCTTTTCGTATATTACATCATTCGAAGGAAAGGAGTCTCTTTACAGAGGTAAGTTTGTCTTCTTGTTTTTTCATGCACGCCTTAGATGTCAATATCAGTAATTTGATTAGATTCATGGTTAAATTGTTTTTAAGTAACTCTTCAGTGTTCCCCGAATCGAAATGCTGTTTAACTATTTATCCTCTAATAGTTATTCATAAATGGTTCAAGCATGCTTAATGTTCTTAATTACCCTGAAAACACAGGATATTCAATATTTATCTGCAATTCTGTATTAATACTGCATGTATCTGTAGTCCTGCATTCTCACTTCAATATATTCAGTTTACCAAAAAATTGAACGAGGAAAAACGGACCGAAAATTCTAAATGGTGCCATATCGAATGATGAATGCTTGTTTTGCAGAGAAGAGGAAATATATATGATATATATTTGTTGTTGTTTATAGGATTGTTAAGAGACAAGCTTTGTTTGTGAGGAAGCCTTTGGTGGACTTGTGGGAACTTGCATTTTCGTACCAAGTAAATCCGCTTGCTGCTATTCAACCCTTGACTGCAGCGAGCTGATGAACCGACACCAGTTGAGATGGTTATCCTCTTGCTGCTATTCAACCCTTGACTACTGTGAGCTGACGAGCCGAGACCGATCGAGACGGATATCAATGAAAGTTTTAATCACTGCTCCTGCAACTTAATTTGTTTTACTTCACATTCAGTTGTCTTCCGCTGTTGACATCGCTCACTCCATACATGAATTGTTTGTTATCATTAACTATCATTATTTTTGAGCTTTCTTGGTCAGATTGCCTTGAACATAAAAAGAAACAAATAAAAGAACAATAATAATGGGTCTTGTCTTAAAGTTTGAAGCTTGTGCTTGAGCATTTGAGGTTTGAAGTTTGATGTAATTGAAATTCTGTGAAATTTTAATATTTGTTCTAAAAAAGTTTAACCATATTTTAATTCGTTAATTTTTTTAATATAATCACTTGTATTTGACTTATTAATCAATTAATCCATATTAAATGTTACGGAGGTCTATTATAAAGATGATTTTTTAAATCTAGTTTTCTTCTATTAAAATATCCAAATTGGAAGAATAAATTAATATACAAACATAATATAATATTACTTTTTAATTTTGCTTAACCCTAAAACCCAAATTAATGCTCACCGAACCCTACCTCGTCAGTTTGCCGCTTAAATGCTAGAAAATGAAAGAATAATACAAAAGATAATTGTGATTTTAGTCCTTTTATTATAATAAAATTTGAAAATTTTAGTTATTTTATTTGACATAATTTAATTATTTAATTTTATAATGTTATTTATAATATCAATTATTATAATTAAAATGATGATGTAAAATTCACACAAATAAGATAATATAAATATTTAATTAATTGTGTTCGATAATAATCTTATATTTCAACATAATGGTTAAAACTACTTTTTAAAATTCATATTATTAGTTTAACTATAATAATTAATAATATTATCAATCTTCATATACTAATCAAATTAAAAAATAAAACAACTTTAAATTTACTGATAATATTATACAAATAAGATATAAATATACCATATTTTAATTAAATCTAAATTTCAGCATAGTATAGGGACTAAAGGTAGAATTAGTCCTCAAAAAGTCCTGTCAATTTCGTAATATTGGGAGAGTTAATGTCTGAATTTGGAAAGCCAAAAGTCGGCCTTAGCTGATATACAGAATTCGTGTTTCCTTCACATCACAAATCTTGTACATGCAGAAGAAATTGATCAAATCCAGCAAGAAGTAAAGCTATATATAAACAGGTATTCTATTGCCTTTGAATCTTTACCGATTGTGAGAAGCAATATATTGTTTAAACCCTGTACATCTGATTCTAGGGTTTTGTTGATCAATTTTTAATTATTTTACTGCGTTTGTTGTCGTCTTGTTTCTTGAATTTCATCTCTTGTTCTGGTTTGCGTTTTGAATTTGGTTTTGATTTTTTTCTATTTTTTCCCCATGATTTTGAAAGAAGTGGAGCAAATGAGTTCGTCTTTTGCAGAAGCTTTTCCAGCAATGCAGGTAATGTCCTTAGCTAACTACATTAAAATCAAATTGAAAGCTTTCCGAAAAAAAAAGTTTCTGCATTGAATGGATGTCATAGGCTATCGTGCTTGAAATCAGTTCGCCTTTTTGTATTGGCAGGAAACATTGCTGGAGTTTCGTGCTGGTAAAATGTTGTTGGAAGGGAAAAGGGTTGGACCTGATACACGCAAAGGACTCATTCGCATAGCCAGGGTATTATTAATCAAAGCAATTTCAGTTATAGTAATATTTTTCTTTTATGTTATACTAGGTTTATGCGGCGTGTTTAGATAATAGGATTTTTATTCTTCAGATTTCTGTTTAACGAATTTTTATCTGAAATTGTTGCAAGCTTACCGCTTTTCTGTTCCAGGGTGAGGAGGGACTGGTTCATTTTCAGTGGCTTGATCGAACTCAAAATGTTATTGAAGATGTATCCCACTTCCTATAGTTTGCTTTTTTGCTTGACTTAAAAATATTTCATTCCATATTTACATCGAAGCTTGCAGGTTTTATCGCAACAGTTTTTCTGTTGTGGCATTTGTTTTATGCTTCTTCAGATTTGGAAGTCTAAGAATCTGTTTTGCATGTGTGTATGCATGCGCATGCATTTCTTTCTAAAATGCACTTGGGAGGGGGTTTTTTTATTTTAATATCGGTTCAGCATGTATGCACATTACATATTGTATGTTAAGAATTGATCTGGTTTGCTCTGTTGCCATCTTTGCTATTGTAGTCGGTAGCATTGTTGTTCTTGTGTTACACATTGTTTTTTATATTTCCGTCTGGTTAACTGGTATTGTTAAGAATTGATTTTTAATTGTTGTCCTCGAATAGCTTATCACAGTTAATATTCAGATATGTGATTAACATTTCCATATGCCTACTTAACCCTGTTATTATTGTGTGATTCATAAAGATGCTCATATAACTTATCTTATAATTTCTTTTATTGTGACTACTCTTTTTTTCCTTGACGTGACATATTATAGGATCAGATTATTTTTCCTGATGAGGCTGTTTTTGAGAAGGTATATAATTTCCTTTTGCACCATTTAGATCTTAAATAATTAATTGTCAAATTGGATTCTGTTAGCTCCTTTAAATAATGTTGAATATTATTTTTCTTGGACAACTCAGGTTAATCAAGCATCAGGCAGGGTTTACATATTAAAGTTCAATACCGACGACCGGAAGTTCTTTTTCTGGATGCAGGTTAGGTTTATTGATATGCTTCCTGTGTAGCTAAGTGTCTGCTATTTATTGATAAGTTGTTTTTATTCTTATTCTCTCAGGAGCCAAAAGCTGAAGATGACTCACAATTATGTATCGCAGTCAATAATTTCATCAATCAACCATTAGGTATAAAGGAATTTGTGTGTGTGTGTTGGTTCCTGCAGCTCCGATGTAAATAATCACATAATCAAACATGGCTTTCTTGATCAAAGTCTGCTTCTTGTTTCGCTTGATTCTCACCCCATCTTCTGTAATATATTTCATTATATGAAATTGGAAACCCCTGCATGCATAGGTGCCATTTCTTGCTTTCTACTTATTTTTTAATCTCTTTGTCTTAAGATTTCGGTGTATTTCCCCGCTGGTCAAAATTGCTCTATTAGTGGTCTAGGACTTCATATATTGCTCAATGTGGGTGGGATTGGGGGCGGTTTCCTTAAACCAATTTTTTAATTATGTTCAACAGAACTTGGTGTAGAAGAGCCTGATGCTTCTGAACCTTTGCAAGTGTCTGAAGACATGGTTGAAGATGATATTTCGTCAAGGTAAAGCTATTGTTATAAAGATACCCTCCATGCTGAAAGATCATAAATAAATTTGTTTTTGGAAACTCAATTGAAAAGCTAAATGTTATGAAATTTGTTTTCAGATGTCTTGTGGTCTAGCCTACCCTGTTCCTTATCAATTACTTAACAAAATGGTTTTGAAATGGTTATGAAACTTCCTAATTAAAAAAAATATTAACAAACAAGGTTAGTCACATTGAAGAGTCTACTTATATGATTTGTGGTGGATTAGTTCTAGGAGAATTAGAGATTTTAGTGTTTATAAATATCTTAAGAGGACTTAGATTTTAGAATCAATTTTAAGATTGAATGTATCAGTGTTGTTTTATTGAAGTACCCGTGGGTTCCTTTGTTCATAGATCTTGGTTGGCTTAGGCTGAAAGAACATTTGAAATTTGAGCTCTAATATAGCATGCCACGATAGCCAGATTTTATTAAAAATTTAAAGACATAAGCCTAGGATGGCCGTGTGTGATTCAATGCTGAACCAATGGGTAATGTTTTCATTATAAAATGAGTTAGGTATTTCATACTTTGTTATTCCATCCAGACTTCCTGGAGCTAAATTTTAAGCATGCAACAACATTGGTATACATATTCTCAAGAGCATATGTTGGGCAGTTTGCTGTCATTGTGTGTGCCTCCTTGAAAGGAAATTGAAGGAACATTTGCAATTTAATCTGATATTATGCAATTTTTTAAGTGATCTTATTCAGAAGATTTCTTGAATGGTTATCATATTGTCCCATTTTTTGTTCAAGATATTAGCCACTCGTTCAAGATTCTTACGATTTTTGTATCCTAACTTTTCAGAGCTGGAAACTTGTCTGTTCCAAACTTAGGGGCTGAAGCAATTAGTGATGTAACCTCTTCATCAGGGCCAGTTAAATTGGAGGACTTGCAAAGAATATTGAGCAGTATCGGGCCAGCAGGTATGCAATTCATTATTTGCATAATGCTTGTTACTGTAGATCATTTTGAGCTCTAACATGGTTGTTTTGAGGTTTTATCTGTTGCAGAGATAGCTGGTGATCCAGATGGAGGTGATTTTCTTTTCTTCCTCACATTTAATAGTATCTTGTAATATTAATGTCGAAGTTGTTGAGCTTATGGTTCTCATAGTTTCTGGGCTGTTTACTTCCTGTGAATGTTTGAAGTAACTTTTGCTTGCACCTTTTTTTGTTTTGGGGAGAGTGAGGTGTTTGGTATATGTCAGTAGAAACTGGTTTTGCTTCCTGCATCCCAAGTTGATTAAGACTTCAGATCTTGTGTATTTCCATGTGAAGTGTTTTTCCAGTAGATTTGTAGAGTTCATAATAAAATTATATTCATATTATCAGCGTGAGGCTAGTTATTATGCTTTTGATCCAATACTTTTAACAATTTAGCACTTTTTTAAGAGTGATAGTAGTCTGATATGCAGTTCTTGAAATGTCAGTTTCTGCTTGAAGTTGTTTCAAAGTTATGTTGCATCTTTTAACTTTTTGCTTGTACTAGAGATTTTTTATTAGTCCATTATTTCTCAAGAGCTGTCCACTATTCATATTTGATACCATACCGTTAGAAAGAAGGTAGTTTGAGGCATAACCAAACATTTTTTTTCGCTTTTTCTTTGACACTAACCATTTTTGTCCTACCAGGCTTGGGGTTGGATGATATTTTGAAGCCAGATTTGATACTTCCATTGATTGAGTCATTGTCGTTGGAAGAGCGATTAGCTTCATATTTACCTGAGGTATATAATAGCTGAATTGTTCCAGTTTTCTTTCTCTAGTTTATGTTTTTCGGAATTTGAAGTTATTGAGTTTCAGGGTCAATGGACACCAGAGGATCTTTTAGAGTTGCTGCAGAGCCCTCCTTTCCGTCAACAAGTAGATTCATTTACATATGTGAGGAATTAGAACCCACCCTTTTATTTGTTTGTAATTTCGCATGGCACTGTTCAGATTTCATGAGGTTTCTTCCTCTCTGTTATAGGTACTTCGAACTGGACAGATAGATTTGTCTCAGTTCGGTATCGATCCAAGTAAATGTGAGTAGTCTGCGGTTCCAATACTACATACCTTTGCTAGTAAATTTTTGCAGTGGACACTGTGATGGTGCTTCATGGTTAACTTATTTAACCACCTATTCCTTTTCTTGCAGACAAGTTCACCGTTTTATCTTTTCTCGAGGCACTTGAAGATTCCGTCTCCAAGTCCGGGGAAACGCAACAAGATGACAAAGATGTAAGACCTCAATCATGTAATCGTAACGACCCCATGGATGAGAGCAAGTGATGGAGGTAACTTCATCCATCAGGATTCCCCTCACCGTCATCGTTTTATCATAGGAGAGGATAAATGTCAATCCCTGTTTTAATTTATTCTTCTTGGTTGAGAGTGTTCCGAGCAAAAAAGCAGAAAAAGGCAATGAAGAATATAAATTGCTTTTATTGTGGTTCAAACTTTTTATTGTATAATACAACCTGAAAAGAGAGATTATGTGGAAGATTAAGTGGATCATTTACTGGTTTATTAGGACCATTTTCAATACCTTCTGAACATACACAAAAAGCAGTTTAATTGGTGAAAACATGTAAAGATCAAGTGTATGTTGGTCTATTGGATTTTGTTTGCCTTGGAATTCATACCGGATTTTTGTGTGCTTTATTGCTATGGTTATGATTTCTATCATAATTCTGGGTCGGGATAGTTTTGGATCGGAGCAATGAAGGTTGGTAGGGTTATGGGTTTATGACTTTGGCGATTGAATGAGCAGTTTGAAATTAGCGTGAATCGGTTGCATCCGACTTTGGTTGGCAATAAATATATTAGTTGGTGGGAATTACTTTCCTTTCTCGTCTAATTGTTGATTCACATATTTTCCATCTCTGTGATGGCCTCACTTACAAAGCCAATTCTGCCTCTTGGGGAGCACAGTCCAATCTGTAAAGTCTAACGACCAAGGTCATGACCCTTAGGAGCGCAAGTGATACTGTCTCTCGGCTCTTCTGAGACTAACTCATCTAGCTCTAACCATTAGAGCGAGGTTCCCCGCACCTTCGACTAGTTGATCACCTCGACTCCAATGAACATCAATTATTTGTCAAATCCCGCAGAAAACACATAAACCAACCAACCCCAGGAACATAGCTTATAGCAACCAAGTCCAGCTAGCTAGGGCCAAGACCTAACCATCACCCTCAGCTCTTGGTATGTAACCTAAAACTATTTTTCAAAGCCTTAATGTCTTACTCCCTGACCATATCCGGACCACCCCCATTAACCACCATGTCAGGAGGAGGCTCAGACTGCCTGACATGGATGAATGCATCTACTTCTGCTGTCATTGAACCTATATACAGTTGCTATACATACAACTAAACCGTGGTTGATTTTGACTCTTTAAATTCTACATCTTCTTTCATTTTCTCATCAAAACGGAGATGAAGTGGATTATAAAACTTTGTTTAACTGGAATTGTGCATATTAGAATTACATTCAAGGGATACATGCATGGAGTTAAAAGTGGATAAAGACCAAAGGCCAACATAGTCTTAAACTGAATGAATTTTCAAGGAATATGCTTCCAGAAAATTTAATATACAAAGACAAACCAAATATCATGTTCACTCATTTCAATACCAATACAAAACCTTCCTTTGTAGCTCAAACTGGTCTCGTTTTGCCCTTCTTTTTCTTTTCGCAATTCATACCAAAAGAATCAGAGCAAGTACCGAACAAGTCGTCCTAAAGGTTAAACAGAATTCAATTCTGACAATTCACCTACTGCTTCTGATGTAAATTTGAAGAACTCTGTTGAGATCTCCAATGGACATTGCTAGAAGCATTTGCTTCAAGTGGAACTCTGGGTTTAGTCCTACCATGCTTCTTTTTCATTTTGCTTTCACCTACACCATCTCGCGAATGAGCTTTCAAGTCCACATTCCTCCTCTTACTTCTTGTTGCTCTTCGTTTACTAACAGCAACAGCTTCACGAGATCCTCGCAGCCCACCCTCGAATCGATCCTCTTCATCATCGCTATCACCATTTTCAGTTTCTGAAGCGGAAAAAGCATTCAAAATCCCACTTTTCTCCTCTTCACTATCATCATCAGTAGCAGCAGCAGCTTCCTTTTTGGGTGCATTGCTAGCTGCTTTCTTTTCTCGACTGCTTCCAGACGACGCAGAAAGGTCTTTACCGTGTTCTTTAACAGTGTGCATTAGATGAAGATATCGATTCCGGACATTCATCAATGGATTACTCTCAATCAATAGTCCCCTTTTATATGCCTCTTTCAAAACAACTGTATAGTTCCAATCTTACTAGATAAGTAAAAAATGTGTGGATGCTGAAGCAAAACTCTCTTGAACCTAGACCTTATGCCCAAATACTCCCCAAGACACAGCACATCATCCCTCTCGGCCTTTTTCGAGATAAAAAGATTCAAAATTTCATGCAAAACAGCAGCTGTCCACTTATCGGATTCGTCAGTTTTTGGTGAAAGATGAAGAGCATTTTCATATGGTGAAACGTAAGGCAATTTCTGCCAATCGTCCCACCATTTTTTCACCTTCTTATCCATCTCGAATCCGGGAGAAAACTTCACTGGAAATGCTAAAGGCATCCCCTTTGAATACCCAGAACCTCCTTCCATAGCCTTCTTTTCAAGAACCGAAACAGCCAATTCCTCACTCCAACAAACCAACTCCAATTGACCAAATCCATCCGCCCCGACAACCCGAAAATAATCGGGGAATTCCGGGACGAGGGTTTCAAGTAATTTTGCGGAAGACCCATATCCCATTTCAGTTTATCGAGGATGCTAATGGGGATTTTGTTCATTCTCGATATCATCAGCAGTTTCAAAAGCCTGTCAGCTACTAATTGCCTGTAGGAAACACTCTCGTAAACCAAATGCTCGTCAGCATCGACATCGAGCACTTCTTGTGTCAGCTTGATATGGGGGTGGGTCTCGATTCCGCCGGGGTGGAATTCGTGGAATACTGAAGGGTACTTGCGGATGAATTCGATGGGGCGAAAAGGGATTTTGAGTGAATCTCTGTTCTGAGAGATTATGGAAATCGGAAGGGACTTTGATGGCTCCGATTTGATAAGGTTTTTGACGTTTAGGAGTGGGCAAAGGTTCTTCTCTCGCTCCACTGCATGATCAAGGCCGCGGTCTCTGACGAATTTGATGGCGGTGGTGGCGGCGGAACCGTCCATGAAGGTCCTGCAGCCGCGGTGGCGCCTTTGTATAACGTGGTTCGGGAACTTCATCGGCGGCGATTTCCGGAAATGAGAGGGGTGAGCAAGGGTTTTGGAAGGGTTTACTACGTCGAACACAAAGAACGACACAATTTAATGTTATTATACGTAAATTTTCCGCACAGGTCCCTGTACTTCTGATATCTGTATTTTTAAAAGGCTTAATATAACTCTTGGTACATAATTTCTGCACTGATGTGTAATTTGGTACCAACCAATTTTTTTTGGGTGAAGTTAGGTACCTAACACTTCTTAATGGTGCAATTAAGTAACTGTTGATGGAAACAATATTGTCTCATTGATCATTGACAATTTCCTTTTGATTTGGGCGAAAAATCACAATTAATAAGAAAACAATCGTTCATTGATAGGTTTATTATGGGAGAATAATAAAGGAAATGTTGAATGAAAGATAGTAGATTTTAGTGAAAGCTAGGAGGAAATAACCTCTTTTTTAGTCTCTTTTGTGGTATAAATACTTCGATTGTAGGATGACTAGTACTAGACCTAGGGTAATCACATTTATATTTTATACATAAACAATTGTTAATCATCGTATTTGATTATCAAAATCACATCATATACTAATGAGTATAAGTTTCGGGTGACCATTCGACGTGGTTATGGGATGACACGACATCTATGGAGTGCTTTTGCAGACTAAGTGAATCTTCCAAATGGCTATTGGTATAGTGTTAGTAATTTTCGATAAACTTTCTCCGAAGATATAACAATACCTAATATTAGTTTGGATGTAACTAAATTTAATTGTTTTAAATTGTATTCGTTCATATTTAGATTTTTAACTTTTGAATATGTAAGGTATATTATCACTTACACTAAATTGTATTAAAATTATAAACATAAACTAATCAGAATTAAAAATATAAAAATTTAAAATATTAATATAAATAATAGACCCTAAAGACCCTAAACTTTAATAAATATATGACATTGATCTTGAATTCCTTATTATAACTTAAAACTCTTTAATCTTTGCTTTTAAATTTTTAATTGATGAAAAACATGTGAAATTAGATTGTATTAAAAAAGGATAAGCTACGTTTAATACTTAGATTATTATTCTATTTTATTTTGGTAGCTAAATTTTAAATTTAAAAATTATATTTAATGTTTAGTTTAAGTTTTAATTTGGTACCCATTATTAAAAAATTAATAGAATCTTTGATTTGATATTTTTTAATGATGATGTGACATTATCTTATAATCACACGTTAACATCATTGTTAAGATAAAAAATAATTATTAAAATAAAACCTAAACTATTCGTCAGGTATGATTTAAAAAAAAGTTTGAGCATCAAATAAAACAAAACTAATAATTTAAATATTAAAAATATAACTTACCCTTAAAAATAGTACTAAACTATAAAGTATAATTACATTATTTATTAGGTTAGATCGAATATTTTTCATCATAAATCAAAACTCGACTGATCTAAGCTTATACACCAAAAAAAAACTCGACTCAATTTAATCTAAACATATTAAAAAATGATTTAACAATATCAGATCGGATCGAAATCCATTAAATTTGGTCCCATCGCTAGAAGTAAATAACCAAACCGAAGAGGGATCCGGACCCGGCATCATATTGCCATCTATGTATTTGACATGTCCTTTAATTTTCGTTTTTATTTTTGATAAAATTCTCCATATTTTGTCAAACCCGTCAGGGTGAACAAAAAGGAAATCAGAGGGTGGCCTGCGGCGTGTAAGTGAGGTAAAGATCCTCGGGAAATGGAGATGGCTCGAATTAGATCTCTGCTCCTTGTATCAATGATGTTACTGGTAATTTTCACAAGGTTTTGCTCCTTTTTTTTCATGATTTTATTATTACTGTTACCTGTGTATTGATTTGGGCGACGGAAATGGATCAGTTGGTAGCTAATCGCACTGTTGAAAGTCGTAAGAGTGGCAAGTCTTCATCGTCTTCGGTTTTCTCTTGTTCAATCTTAAGGAAAAGAGTAGGTTTTGGAGTGAGGCCGTTATACGTGGAGGTACCCATTTCCCCCGTTAAAAACTACTCTCGAAATTTTGTTTTCTAGGTTTATGTTTGTTCATTTTTAAAACTTTGCTCATTTTTCTCAGATTTCGATGATTTAGAAGTAAACAGCCCTTCTAAAACGGGTGTTTATAACTACACCAAGGCTGGTATTAGACAAATTTTGCGTTAATTTGTTTATGAATTTGCTCTAACATTTCAGTATTAAGAATTGCATTTCAGTTCACTCTCTCTCTCTCTCATAATTTTCAGCTAATATTGCGAATTACCTGAACCTTATGAAAGTGGATTCTCTGTACCTTCCAGT